GAAATGAATTGTTCATCTTGTTTGATGTTTTTTGAATTGTCGATGAAACGGAATATTTTTTTCTTCGATGGAAAGTACAATTCTACCCCCTTGTGATGAGCCTTGACTGAGCTTAATTAATAAATTTGATTCTGTGTTATGAATATCTTAAAAAAAAGTCAAAAGTGTCCATTTTACCGCACCCTCTCTTATTCTTGGAATTCCGTAAAATTCCATCACTATCATTTCACTTTTATTTTAAATGCTTGAGACAGCATTCGAAAATCTTCGACGACTTCCGTATATTGATTCATCCTAACAAATAAACGAATAATAGATTGTAGAACAATAGCTTGTAGAAAATCCTATTTACGTGAATTCGGAGGGAAGATAAGATAATCCGAGACATAAAACTGAGTAAACTACCTAAATCCAGAGCATTGTAAACAAAAACACAATTGAAAATCTCAAACAATTGATGATTCAGTACCGTTTACATTTTGTCACTGGTTGATGCCTCGGCTCAGCAACACATTATCAATCATTTTTCCACTTCCATGGATTAACCGCCACTGAAGACGGAGCTGAAACTATTGCTTCTCATCTTAGTGTCACGTAAACGCAGTTACGAGTCCACCACCAGAGATTAGATTATCGGCTTAGTGTGCTCTCTGCGTGTCCCCACCAATGGGATACTTTTCTTTCTTTCAAAACTGAAACTCCTCAAGTCGCTTGGTTTAGTATCCACTGTGTTAGCTCGCCACGCAGGTCGAAGTATTGGAACACTCGTTCAATTGCCATTTTTTTTTCATCTCCCTCCAACTCTGTCGATATTTTACCATCATTTTGCAAGGATGATTTGAGCATTGCGCGAGTGAACATCTCAAATTACAAGTTTAGCATTCAAATTATTACCGTCATTGATTAGTTAAACAAGTGGGTGCATCGTAGAAACAAAAATGCGGTTTGACGATCAACTATTCACAATACTCGGTGAGTTTACCCTATTGTCAAATATTAATTTCGCGCGAAACTGCAGAAACATTCCTCCGTCAATCGGAAATCCACTCCAACAATTTTCATTAATTAAAATTCACTTCGCAAATGACAAATGTCTCACCGAAACCCGCGTAATTTCCTCATGCATTACTCAAAGCCTCCGATACATACTTCAGCCAACAGAGGTGGAGTCAATTTCAAATATTATTTGAAATATAAAAAGCCCGAGGAAAAAAAATGCAAATGTTAAAAATCCCGAGCGAGTCGACGGCAAATCTCTTCATAACCTTCAACTTATGTTATGTCAACCGACAAATATAAGAGAACATTGTAGGCACTTGACAATTCACTCAAATAGGCATACTCAGCGTTACACACAAGCGCGAACCACTTTGCCAGTTTCTCTCATCTCATCAAACACCAAAGAGACATGCATTCCACTTACGTAATGCGCCAAGATCTGACCTTACACGTGGGGTAAATATTACGCATTTGCTTTGATTGATTGTGCGCCTTCGACGACTTGTCAAATTAGGAAAATCGAGTCCACACACAGTTTCATCAATATTTCAACGGGTCATGATGTGACACTTGCAATAGAACCACGTGACATTGAACAATTGTACATATGACCAACTTGTTGAATTGTCTAATAGAAAACATACGAGAGCCCTCAGCTAGAGAATCATCTCTCAAAACCGGTCTCCCGTCTATTTTGTTCACTAAAATGTTTTGCGTTCATTGAAATTTTCTCATCTCGTGGCTGTTTCCGCGAGCTTCATATCCTCCATACACTAATGAGTCCGAATCATCCGCGATGACATGAATTTTTTTTCACAATAATAATCATCCACAACTGCCGTCCAATTGGCTGGAAGTTTCCCTACAGCATTGATAAATCCAACACAAACACAGCAGTTGTTGAGATGATGTTCAGAATAAGAATTATCTCATTCTGCTGTAAACATTGAATTGTGCAAGATTTTCCAATAAACTGATAAGAGATGTCAAACACTGGTTGCACATCAATTAATTAATGACATGAAAATAAATGTCGGGGCGTGCTGAAACGATTAGTTCTCGCACAACTTCACGGAGAAGAAAAAAGTTTTAGTGTTCGGGAACATGTCCCTGATTTTTAGGGATCTATCCCTAGTTATTGAGGAATCGCGATTGTGAAACTCAACGAGCGCGAAATTTTGAAATTCAGCGATTTTTCCACTAATTGTTAGTGACATTATCATTAATTTTCGGTGGCATCGTCTGTAACTTTGAGAAATCTCCACTGTTAAAATTTTTTGACTGAAATTTTCGACACACTTTTTGGAAATTTTTATCACATTTTAGGTTCAATGAAATTTCAAGGAATTACGTTATTGCAGAATTCAGAATTTCATGGAAAAATCAATGAAAACTGTAAATTTCCGTTCAATTATTCCCTGAAAATTTATAGAAATCAGGAAAATTTCGGTAAATATATTCTAGAATTGTCAATTAATTAAAAATTCATGGTATTTCAGCATTAAATATTCATGATTTCTTTGAAAATTCAAATAGTTTGAGGAATTCTCAAATCACATTCAACGTTATTCTTCCAACAATTAATAGTCCACTATCCACGGAATTTCAATTTTTTTTCTGACACTGTATCACCAAATCTCAATGATAGAAATCACTGATAATCACTGACTAGAATAATCTAGAGTATCCCCAATAATTGGCGATAGATTAAAAAAAATTAGTGACATATTCCTAAAAATCAAATTTTTTTCTCTTGACGCTTAATTTTTCGTGCAATAATACTCACCGTAATCTGACATGCATGCACCACTATCACAAAATGACGATACTAAATATGAAACCATGCGTTCATAATAAACAGATCAGTGGGTTGCGGTGAAATGATTCATTTTTCAACGACAAATCTTATTGTCCGTCAGCCAGGAGCATGAATAGCTGGTCAAGAGTTCCACATTCGCAACTGTATTTTGTTTATCTCAGAGCTTGACTCATTTGACTCAACACTTGCTTTGTCCCGCATACCATTTCCTATTCGACGGTTCATTACGATTACCTGTAATATTTACTTGTCTTCGCCAAATGCAGAATTCATTAGAACAATTATTATCATTAATACAAAAAAAAACTCCATTTCTGAGATTCAAATTATGGCTAATTGGCATCATTACTATTGAACTTAGCAGGAAAAAAAATGATGCATCATGGTTTTACGTTGAATTAATTAGCTCTCAAGGCGGTGGAACTAGTGATTAGATATTCCCCGTGTATTGTACACTAGATCTATTTTCTTCCACAAATAATGACATTCACAATTATTTAATAAATAATTCTTTTCCTCATTCTTGCCACCAAGAATCGATTAATATCATTACACGGAAGCGTCAGAACATCATTCGTCCTTTATGATACGCACATAAAAAACATGAGTGCACTAATGTCTTCGTGACGCTTCTGCGAGAAGTTTTTAGGACTGCAGTGTAAAAAGAGAAATGAAAATTCCAAGGTTGCTGCCCAAATGGCCGTGACTGCGGCGTCTCCGAGATTATTAATCTAACACCGTGAAGGTCGTCACTTTTTCCGAATAATAAATATTGGGTATTTATCAAGTGTTCATTATGAGATTAATTGATTGATGTGATTCATCATCAGTCTTCCCTCACGTCCCGTCTCCTATTGTTCCCGAGGTCTTTCATTTCGTTTTTCTTCATTATTGAAATAGTTTCATTAGAAAGTCAGGATTGAATTTAGGAAGCATCGACCTCTTCTAGCACAAGAGCCCCCGAAACACTTCCGTTCGTAAATGTTATGGAAATTCGTGCATTTCTGATGGTAGATTAACGGAATACAATTAGACAACTGTTGCGGTGAATTGAAATATCTAATGAATTTTAAATCTTATGCCTAATTTGGAGGGGGAGGGTTGAGGAAATACAAAAATGTTGGTCTGGTAGCGTGTGATTTTCTCATGGTTTCATGTTTACAAATGGGTATTTCAATCTCGCAGCATTATGCGTATGGAAAAATTCAAAAGAATACCTAAAGCTTTCGGTTGAAAAATCTATTCGATTTCCATCGGAGCTTGGTATGAGTGCTATTAAAATTCTTGTCGCTTTTTGCTATTTTCATTGAATTTTTCGCAGCCTTTTATGACGTTTTTAATAGACGTTTGGTAGATTAAGAGATTTTGATTTTTCGCTATGATTCATTCTCTTGAGATTCTTCCCGAAAGAAAAAGTTGATTCTGCCGAAAAATTATGTTCCCCTGAAGAGATCTTTTGTCGTGTTGCATCAATTTACTTATTAATTTGCTGTTACAATTTATTTATCAATTTATTGTTAAACAAATTTCTGACAGGGTACCCTTCGCGGAGAGAAATATTTAATAAAAATTACGCATCTTTTCCGTAATTCCGGAGCGAAATGTGGTTGTAGGGATTTTTACGCAACTGTCACGGAATTTTTCCAGATCGTTCCGTGATTTTTACCTGAATCTCCTGTGAAAAATTACGATACCGTCACCTAAATTTTCTGAGTCGATTCCGTAATCGGTGAGCGAACTGTGAGTTCCGTAATTTTTACTGAACATTTCTCTCCGTGTTGTTATCAGGGTGTCGATGTATTTTTTCGGCAGAACTAATTTTTCTCTCAGTGTACATTGATAGAGAACGTGAACCGATTTAGACGTTAGCAGCAATTCAATCCTTTCCTATCAGTGTCGAGAAATTCTTATGTAAAAATTTTCCAAGTGTTCCACAATTAATCTACAACCGCCTATAACTCAACGGACGCACCCATTTCCTCCCAAATCCACCGAAATCTTCCATGAAAAACTGAAAAGGTGAAAAGATTCCAATGCTGGAATCATCAACAGTCATCAGAGACACATAAGCGTAATATTCGCCACTTACTATTTTTATATCCCCACCCCATCCTAACCACGCTAGTAGCGCAAAACGTGCGTGCGTTTACAGCTGTTTCCCCAGTCGGCAGTGAGCCGTTGAGTTGTCTGTTGAATTGTGACAGAGAGAGACAGAGTAATAAAGAGTGAGAGGGAGAATTGGGGCGAGGGAAAAAAACAAGGATAACAACACAGAGACACCGATACTCCCGCCACTTCTTCGTTCCTTCGTCTTCCAGTTTTACTTTTTGCACCGTCATGGCCCATTAAGACTGAACATTTTGCAAATTGAATTCGCACCCGTTGTTTTTTGTGGAATCAATTTTTTACGTCACTCTCTCGATTGATAATCGGCGATGGCTGAGAGTGAAAAATTACTCCTAATCACGAATGATGGGATGAAAAAGTGCGATGAATGTCAATACGCGGAGAATTGTGATTCTGCATTTGAGTTATTTTCGTTACTTTGCATAACTACTGTGATGCCAACTGATGTAGAGTGTCTCTTACCTACGGGTTATTCGTCCGATTGTTGAGAGGTGATGGGCAAAGATGTTTCCAACCGAGGGAATCAACAGACCAGTTGCGTCGATACAAAACACATAGCTGTGATGATAGTTACGGACAACCGGTGGAACTTGTTAACCAGCGATTCCAATTTATTAATTGTTTCACTTGTGCCAACAGTAGCCCGCTCGCAGCGGGTTATCTTCCACTTGTACACATGATTATTTTCGTGGAATGGGAAAGAATACCGATGATCCATGAGTGCATTTCATGATTGAATACAGACATTGATGAACATTCATCATTTGATCGAGGTAGACACAAAATTTAGAGGTGAAATCACTGTCATGAAGGATATGGGATTGGCAGGTAGGCTCAACTGACTTGTTTTGTGGAAAAAAAATTATCCCTCACTTGTTTTAGCGGGAAATGAACAGAACTCGCTGACGTCCAGTGAAATTTTCGGCTCATTTTATCTCAAATGGAATAATAAAAAAAAGGTGTTTTGAAAGTTCTCGGATAAAATGAATTTGAATGATGGGAGGAGGGGAGGGTGGATACCAGCTTTATTGTAGTAAAAAAAGATAGGATAAGTTTTATTGGTTGATATCCTCGGGCTCTGGTGTTGCGTCATCAACAGAAATTTCACTGGGTGCATTTTTCATGCGGTTTAATGCTTTTTTTCATGCGTCTATTAAAATATTTAATTGATCGTAGAAAATGGATAAAATGGGGACTAGAGTAAGTGTTATTAATGGCGAATTATGTCACACTGAATATGATATGTCAACTGCGCGAAGACATTTTTCATCGCCTCAATCATCTATAAATGGTAATTACTATCGCGTGTCGACTATACGTGGGGAAATTTAAGAACTGGAATGGATGGAATATGGGGAAGTGTTTGGTTCGTATTTAGTTGATGCAAAGGCCACATTTGTGTAAATATTCAGGTTGATCGGGCCCTCATTTGTAGGGAATTGGGTATATTGGATTATGGCGATTCCTTCGCCATAGAAAAAATGTCAAATTATTTTTTCTGTGAGAATATAGGGATTTTTAACATTTTTGATATTTTAATTTACTGTTGAACACAGTAAAAATTGAAAGTCGGTATAATAGAAAGTGGTAGCATAAAAGAAAAATTTTTGTTTGAAACGAGGAAACATTCGGTTAAAATCAATCGAATTTTAAAGCTCTCTGGTATGGTCCTATGGTAATTTTGATAATTTTTAATTTTATGTTTATCTCCGGGTACGCCCAGTTCGCAGTAGGAGTTATTCTATATGCACACGTTTTTGAGGATATGATAAATTATTGATAAAAGCTACAAGCAAAAGGTCATAAATAGAAGTTCATGAATGACGTTAGTCCAAACTATTTTTGGCACCGAAAATAAAATTCTTGATTTTCAGGAACGTGCCACTCATGTTCAGGAATCTATCCCCAATTTTTGGGGATTCGCGATAGTGAAATTTAGTGATTTTGTCACTAATTTTTAGTGATAGTACCACTTTTCAGTGACATCGTCACTAATTTAGCGAAACATGTCTTCGCCTTTCAGGGACTCATCTCTAATTTTAGGAATCTATCACCAAATTTTAGTGATAAATCTCTAAAAATCATTGACACGTTGCTGAAAATAAAAACTTTCCCTGCGGGCATCTCCATAGAGAAAAAGTCAGGAGGCAAACTGTTGATCGAATTGACGCGGAAAAACCACCTTTTTTGATTGAGTTACTTCAATACCAACGGAATATCAATTCCCGAATTTACAATTTCCGTAATTACAATTCGGATTTCACAATATTTTCCTCTACAATTCGACAAAGGTTATAGTAAAACGAGGATGATTGGCGAAATTTGGTTAAGGCGTGAGATAACAGAATCATGATGGAATAAATCAACACGATATTTCCTCAATTTTTTTCCTACAATCGAAGGTCAATGACTCTTCACGCATTCGAAGAAACTATTTGTTCAACTCGTTTTCATCAATTTATCTTCACAGACCCATTAACTTCGTCATAAAAACGCGAGAATTACCAAGATGAAGAATAAGCAAATTGCGAGGAAAACTCACACCGAATCATCTTCCCCTCGTCTTCACACGATAATTTAGTGTCGAAACGGCGCCATCACTGAAATAAGACCGATTCTGTTATTTGAAATGAAAACTCGCATTGCGAAATGAAATGTCCAAATAATTAACAACTACACGAGCAGCCCTCACCGACGGTATTATTAATTACCGGTATATCGTTGTCGGAAGAATTTCCCGATAGGTTCGATTCGCCGCCTTAATTACAAGAATGAGTCTCCTCATTACATACACGATGAAAAATACGATGTTTATCCGATATTTTTTTTTCGATTTTTTTGTTCTCAATATTTTTTGCCGGCATATTTTTTCCATCGTGAATATATCGGTAGGCGTTATACCGATAATTAGATGCATGGAAAAAACATCCAGAGAGTCTTGACACTTGACCGCCACCTCTTATTTCTCGTTTCACTCCATACGTCTTCGTTGCTGACGCAAGACAGGTTGTATCTCAGGTGCAAATTTATTACAGCGCTAAGATGCCTTGAATATATCATACTTTGTATTCAACCGTGGGTTGTTTCTACGAAACATCTTTTCATAGACTAGGGCTACAAAAAAATCGAAGTATTATTACATCTGCATTGAAATTTCTTGTCTCAATCTCCCGAGACGTATTTCCATTGGTTCGGAGCACATCGTCAATTCGTACTCTCGAATGGATACACGGGGGAAAAAGCCTGAGAAAAATTAACAAACATGTCAACATTGAGATAAAAATAAGTTCTGCCGAAAAATTATCTGTTTCACGTGAGAATATTTGGTACACTCGAGGGGAATTAACCAATTTGATTCGAGAATTTTCACAAAAATTGAATTTTTGTTGTGACTACTAGGAATATCCCCAGAAGAATTCGAAGTGTTGACAGGAGAATATAATTTTTAATTTTCCTAGAAATTATTTAGTTTTGTCAATAACACAATATTTAGATAAAAAAATCGTTTTCTCTTGAAACTTCCATTTGTTTTACGGAAATTATAAGTGTTTACTGGATAAAAACGTACACTCCTCAATAACTTTCGCTTAATAAAACCGGAGTCCCATATAATTCTCTATAAAACTAATGTATTTATCCGAAAGATATAAATGTCTTACGAGAAGAATTGCGGCTACAGAAATTATTGTTTTGGTGGAAACCAAATTAATTCAACGCGAAAGATTTCTTCTTAATTCCTTCTCTCAGTGAAGTAATCCTGGAGCGGAATCCATTTCTAGGTCTGTTCCAGCCGATATCGGGGCAGAAAGTGTTGGACGAATAGCGAATTTTTTTCCGCTTACTCGGGAAAATTGATTAAGGCCGTGACTGTTCGCACCATTGCGTGAATCATTCCCGTACACTCCATACACTCCACGCATGCGTGAAGTTTGTGTGTTTCACGCAGCCGAATTTTCATACTGCTGTGTATTTCACGCAGTTGAAGTTTCATACTACTGTGTGTTTCACGCAGTTGAAGTTTCATACTACGACCCACTCTTTCTCGACATTTCTCGACCCACTCTTTCATTTGAGCCCAAAAAAACATTCATATCTTATCTGACATC